TTGATCAAACCGAAGATGATAAGAACAAGGCATATATTTATGTTCATGTTGGTTTGATCAAAGATGAGCAAGGAAAATATGAAGAAGCACTTACATTCTATGAACAATCACTTGCTATCAATCAAAAAACTCTTTCTCCCAATGATCCGGAGTTGGCTAAATCCTACGGTAACATTGGTATAGTGCATAGACACATGGGTAATTATCCAAAAGCACTTTCTTATTATGAAAAAGCCCTTGAAATTCAACAGCAATCACTTCCATCCAATCATCCTGATTTGGCTATATCCTACAACAACATTGGTTTAGTGCATTACAGTATGGGTAATTACCCGAAAGCACTTTCATCTCATGAAAAAGCCCTTGAAATTCGACAACAATCACTTCCTCCCAATCATCCTGATTTGGCTAAGTCTTATAACAACATTGGTAGTCTGCACGCCAGCATGCGTAATTTTCCAAAAGCACTTTCTTATTTTGAGAAAGCCCTTCAAATTGATCAACAATCACTTCCTCCCAATCATCCTGATTTGGCTATGTCCTACAATAACATTGGTTTAGTGCATAACAACATGAGTAATTATCCAAAAGCCCGTACATTTTTTGAACGTGCTATACAAATTGGAGAACAATCATTATCTTCAAATCATCCTGATCTTCAAGGTTATAGAAATAACTTCGAACGTGTAAAAAACAAATAATAAATTGTATTGCTATGTGTTTTGTGTTTATAAAAGGGAAAAAATAAACCTTTTAAGCAAGGAAAGAATTGTTTTAAATGTGCGCGCGTACAGAGAAACTCTGCTCTTGTTAAGACACAAATGGGTGATAACACCTATTGGTAACGTAAACAATGCATATCAATAGACATGTATTGTAGAAGAAGCCCTTCACGATATATAATTATTGTGTATGAACCAGAGATGTCCATGGCAGCGGCAGATTTTTTCTCGAAACTGCGGCGGCGCGGTAGCGGCGCGGTAGCAGTAGCTTTTTCAGGAAACAATTTTAAAAATTACGAATTTTACACATAATCTCAACAGTGACGTATTCTGCAATGTAAAGCTAGACGAATTCCATCGATTAGCAGCAACAGCTCTCGTTTAAACCATTCTCAACCCCGAGAATCGGAAGATTTTTAAAAGTCCCATCGTGGCAGCGTCGCGGTAGCGGCAACTTTTTACAGGAGCGCGGTGCGGCAGCGGCGCGGCACACTTCTTTTTATTATAGTCGCGGCGCGTTAGCTTTTTTACAATATCGCCGCGGCGCGGCAGCGGCAGATTCTCAACCGCGATGGACATCTCTGGTATGAACAAAGTAGAGTTTCTCTATGTTGGGTAAGAAAAAGAACGGCCACCCAAGAGGCTGTTTAAAGTAACGAAGAGAGAGAGAAAAGAACTGTATTTATTCAGTAATATGAGTTATTCTTTCTGTTCCAATAAAAAGAATAATTCATATGCAATGAATAAATAACCGAAAGATAGAGAAATAAATGATTTTTATACATATTAACGTACTATGAAACAGGTCAGTATGTTAATATGAATAGAAAACACTACTCAACTCGACTCAATTGAATAAAATAACTGAGTATACATATAATGTCAGTATACATGATATACAATAAAGAAAAAGTTAGTCAGTATGATGATTTCATTCAAAGAAATAAATAATACTTTAAAGAAATCATTGTTCTTTTACTGAACACAAAATCAATGTACATATATGAGAAGATATAATTACCTGATTTTGTTTGGATATTATTCAACTTATATTTAATATTTACCAATCAATCAAGAGTATTTATGCAAAATAGTAACTTTATTATTATTATTATTCATAATTTTGTCTTTTAGTTATTGTAAAACTGATGACGGTGAAAAATTCTTCAATAAATTTCAAATATAGTTTTTTGTCATAGATGTATAATGTTCTTTTTGAATCCAAAGGCTGCACCTATATATAATCCCTGTGGTAATATTTACCTCTATCTGATTGAATGATGATTAAACGAGAGGCAATGTGTTAAAATTTTAACACTTAGTTTGATTTAAGTGAAGCCATATTTAATATTGTAAGTTAGGAAACAAATGAATGTAAATCAGAGTATCAGATACGAATAAACTAGGGATGACTGACGCTTATGAATTACATTTATCTTTATAAATAAAAATAAAAATAAAAAACTAACCTCAGATTCCGATTCCTCGATCCAAACTACCTTTGGTCAAACTTTGTCGGATGATCACGGATGAGTTCTTATTGATTCAGTGCGTGCTGAATTCTCATTGGCTTAGAGGAACAAACTCTATGTATTTGAAGCCGATGATTTAAATGCTATATAATCTTTCTTCCAGAAAAGTGAATAAAGAATATTAGAAAATTTTCTTTATATGTCACATTTCTGATAACTTAACGAATGTCTTGTTTCAGAAAAATCGTGTACACTTTTTCCCATCTACAGTTAGCAATAAAATAGTGAAGTTTACCGAAATCAACGTAACAAGTTAATTTTTTCTCGATTATCAATGAAATAAAACTAAAGTTCAATTCTTTCATCAATTAGTTGTATTTATATACTTTTTTTTCATTTAAGTAATTCGACAGAATAAATATATGATAAAATGTTTTAACTAACAGTCTTTTCATCTATATATACTATTTATTACATTAATATCGAGTATGAAACTTTGGAAATATCTTTTTTTGTTATTCTCTCGATTGTAACGAAGATTATATGAAATAAAATAGTTGCGCGCTTGTAGTAGGATCAAAAAACATCGGAGGAGAAAAAACACGCATGAGTCATGAAACTTCATTAATCTGTTTTTGAGTCGAGAAATCCGAATCTGAGGTCCGTTTGGTTAGACATGTTGAGAATGGTTGTAGGTGGGTGGATGTGAGTCTGGGTACCTTAAGTTTAGATTCACACTCACACCCACATCCTTGACTATACCCTTTAATGAATCCTTCTAAAAGGTCCTGAGAGGATTTATGGAAGTTTCAGATATGATTAAAAAAGTTTCGTATACGTTGCACTTTCATATACTCTTTTTGGTTTTATTAATGTGGCGCATTTTTTTACAGTATATAGAATTGAATAGAAAGACATACTTGTGATGATTTGATTATTACGCCAAAGATTCTAAACCCAACATATATTAGACAATAGACAAGAACTTGTTGTTCTTGCACATATTTGTCACATTCTTTGAAAGCCTTCAAAATGAACATATATCTTTATACAAGATAATATTTTTATGTTTAAACAACTGCAGATGTTGGTTCAAGAGCTCCATTAAAGAAATCTGCTATATATTCAATTACAATTAGTATTTATTCTAGTTTGTTAATTTTTAATATTGCCAAAGTAATGTTCGAGTTTATCTCCCGTTAGAATCAGTTTTATTTCATATACTTCTTTAGTTTGTTGACAACAATTTACATTAAGAAACGAATCATTCTTTTTATGTACAATATTTAAGAAAAATATAGTAAGACTAACTACAATTGATTGACGCTTTCGTCTAATATCCAACAAATTTTGATTACATAAAAATATATTAGTTGTATCGTTATCTTCGATTTATTTGTTATTGTTAATACAGCATCTGATGAACAATGTGTTTTGTTTAACAGTAGTAAAATTGAATCGATCATTAAATATATTAATAAAATAACCACTGATAATGTCAGTGCAGGTATAAGATCAAACGTCAATGAAGCAATGCTTGTTAATACTTAGTAAAATAAATCGGAACTGAAAATATATATAATAATATAACCAATAAGAGAAATGATAATTTGTTTTGTTACCAAACTTTGAAGACTCATTGTTTATTATCATCAATCTAGTTTTACCTGCTGTGATTAATAAAAACTTCGTACTTCCATGTGAAATATCTAACAGATACACAAATCTAATAGATAAATCTTAATGATTCTAATTCATCACAGACGTAATAGTAATTTTTTTCAAAAAAGAACTGACATTACCAGTTCAAAACTTTATGAGTATATATCTGATATCTTTGAGAGATCAAGTAAAATTGTACATGAGTGACATCTATAACACTTTGTAATGCTATACACTTCTTCTTACAACCAATCCTTCTTAGATCCTAATAGTTTGATATTTATTTTATTGGTCTTATTTCTTATTTCATTTTTTTCTCGAAAATCGAAATTAACTTTTCATTAATTTATTTATATTATAGATGGTTGCAAAATCGAAAAAACCGAGATCACAAACTTCTACTCCAACGAAAGCTGAACTTCTTTTTAAAGTTGGCAAAGATATTCCAAAATGGTATTCACTTGATATTTCTTCACCATTAAAAACTAATAAAGAAAAATATGATAAACAACAATGTCAAGAAATTTATCAATCAGAATGTGATCTATATCAAAAATTCTATCAACAAGATCAATCATCTGATTATCAATGGTTACAAACATCACTTTCAACTACATCCAAAGTATAATTTTTGTGTCAACAATAAAACAATTTTTTTTATTTCTATTCAAATCTTTTTCTTATTTGTAGGATCGTCTTGCTTCTTTAGTTACATTAATTCGTCGTTCACCTATTCATGCATTAAAAGAACTTGAAAATTTAGTAAATCTTTTACGATCAAATATTCAACATCGTCGAGAAGCATTAACAATTGCTGAGATTCTCGAAGATCTTTTTATTAATACCTATTTACCGGAAAATCGTCGTTTAGTACCCATAACTCAACAATTCAATACAAAGGAAACAGCTGCACTTGCAGTCGTTGAAGAAAAAATTAAACAACTTTATTCAAATTTTATTGATTTACTTCAAGTATATAATATAGGTTTTCTCTTATAACAATATTCTAAGATTTTTCCATAATGTCCTTTGTTTTAAAGTAAATACTAAAAGAAGAAGATCGATTAATTCGATACTTGTCATTGATACTGAATATTTACTTACTAGTATGCACTTAAGAAACAGGATAGTTCTGATACAGAAAGAATTACAATTGTAAATAATCATTGAAAGTAGTAGACAAGTTATTTAAGATAAAAAAATCGAACTGATTCAGAAGGACAGAAGTAACAAGATATTGCAATAGATTCAACTATAATTCTTAATAGAAACATATATCTTATTAAGATTTTATATTTGGACATATTTTGATAAATACAGAACAAAAATAATCTATAATCTGAAATGCCAGTACTACAGTGAGATTTGCATGAGTCTTAAAAACTTTCGTTGGGGTAGATTAGTATGCGATCATGTTTCATGTATAACTAGGACAAGTCTTATGTTAACAGTATCGAGTGATTTCTATATAGGTCGGTCATATCCAAAACGACTGATAAAAAGAGCTAGAATTACAAAACAAAATTATATTAGAATTGCCTGTAATAAATTGATATACAATAAAATGAATAATCGAAACTATAGCAACTCTAAAAATCTAGGTTATGTGTATATATATTCATTGTTTATTTTTATAGCAAATAGCACATGATCCAATTGGTCCAATACGTACTAAAGCAGTATCTATGCTTGAACGTTTATTATCTCAACGACCTGAACAAGAAAAACGTTTACTTGAATTAATTGTTGATAAATTAGGTGATCCAGATTCCAATGTTGCTGCTAAAACACTTCATTTATTAAGTCAACTTTGTAAGAAATAGTCAAAAAAATAGAACAGATATTTGTATATCCTTTATTTTTATAGTGGAGAAACATCCAGGAATGCAAACTGTTGTTGTTAATGAAATTGAACGACTTCTCTTTCGACAAAATATTCGTCAAAGTGCACAGTATGTTAAAATTAATTTTTCCTTTTTTAATTATTTTTTTATTAAATATTAGACATTATGCTTTATGTTGTTTAACAGCAATAAAATTTACAAGTCAAGATAATAATTTAGCTAATAAATTAATTAAAATTTATTTTGCTGTCTTTCGAGTAAGTTAACAAAAGAATATTTTCGACTTGATTGATTATATATATGTTTTTGTCTAATTATAGTTACTCAGTGTTAAAGAAGATGTTAGTTCAAAATTTTTTGCAATACTTCTAAGTGGTGTTACACGTGCTATTTCGTTTGCTCAAGGTAAAAATGAATAAAATAAACGAATCACTTATTTAATGTTACAGTTTATTTGATAGTGTCGTTTCTTTGAACTTTTGACAAATTCGAGGAGTTTCTTTACTGATTATAATATATTAGTTTAAAGTACTGTATTTTAGCACTTGTTTGATTAGAAATTTATAGAGCAAGATTTGGGTGATCATTTTCTTTGAACGTAAATATGCATCTGAAACTTCCTCTTGAATAGTTTGAATACCTTTATGTTTTGATATAATATAAAAAACAAACAAAATACATTAAAATCAAGAGAAAGCCGTTCTACATCGTAGAAGATATAAGGATGTTCGTTCGCTGACAATTCTATTTGATTCTCGATTACTTAGGCTGTTATTGTAGACAGACCTTTCAAACGGTGATGACTTATGAGAGTATATCGGAAATCTGAAGTTCTATTGAAGAACTTCATGGTCTTAGAAATAAATATATAATCCTCAGGCAGCGTTGGCAATAATTTATCAAAAACAAAGATGTGATTCACTTTTACTAGTAACTATAGTCAGTCGAATTTTGTAACGTCTCTATTAAGATTCAATATCGTACACAACAGAAATGAGTATGTACGAACTTTCTTGCGTGCAAGTATCAATACAGATAAGATGGTAGTTGAAAATACGCCTGTATTAAATAATGGATAGAATGTTATTAGAACATGATAAATAGCGATATATGCACTCTGTCATATCAGGTCGAAGGACGAACGGATATTAACTAATTCTCTTATCTTTAAAGGGCAGACGCGCATGTCCTCCTTTCAATGACAAGGTGAAGTGTCTAATACTGTTGTTCTAGTTTTATATATTACGATAAAATTACAAAAGTACATTTTTAATATTTTAGTTGATCTTGATAATATAATTGAACATCTCAATGATTTATTCCGTATTGTTCATTCAACCAATTTCAAAACAAGTGTTCGAGCATTACAATTACTTTTTCGTCTTTCTGAACAACGGTAAATAATTCTTTGTAAAATAAAAAAAATATTGAAACATTATTTTGAAATATTTAGATCAGAAATTGATGATCGATATTATAATGCATTATATAAAAAACTTTCTGAACCAGAATGGAAAAATTCTAAAATGCTTTCAACATTTCTTAATCTTATATTTAAATCTATGTTAAAAGATTCAATGGAAGCACGAATAAGAGTTTGTTGTATTTTATTTATTTTGAATAAAAAAAATTAAAATCTATTTCTTTTTTTCGTAGGCATTTATTAAACGTTTATTACAATTATGTCTATTTAATGATGTACCATTTATTTGTGGTATACTTTTACTTATATCTGAAATTGTTAAACGACATTCAAATGGTCAAACATTACTTTTATTTTCACAAAAATCTAGTTTTATCAATGAAAAACTAACTGAAAATGGAGGTGATGATGATGATGAAGAAGAACATTTCCATGATGTTGTTCCCGAAGATGAACAACCATTACAAATCGTACCTGAAGTATCATCATGGGATCATAAAAAAATAAATAAAACCAATCAAACTTATCTCAGTCATTATGATATGTTTAAACGTAATCCATTATATTGTGGAAGTGAATATACATGTTTACATGAATTATTATTTCTTAAAAATCATTCTCATCCAAGTGTTGCTTTATTTGCTCAAAATATTTTCGATGTATGAAAAAAAAATTATTCATTTTCTCTTAACTATTTATTTTAATTAGGGTAAACCTATCGAATACAATGGTAATCCATTGATTGATTTTAATTCTATGCGATTCTTTGATCGTTTTGTTTATAAAAATCCTAAAAAACAAATTGCTAAACATGGTATAAGAGAAAAAAAAACATTCATTTATTAAATAAAATTATTTTTATTTAATTAGAAATTCTTCGAAAAAAATCTCGTCATGCTGCTGGTCGACTTTATTTACCTAAAGGTGTTAAAGCAGTTGCTGTTGATAGCAGTGAATATACAAAATTAAATTCAAAACATATTCCAGCTGATGAGCGTTTTCTATATACGTATGTTTGAATTGATTTATAAAATTAACAAAATAATTTTATTTTTAATTTTTTTTAGTTTTATGAAAATGCGACAAGAACAGGGTGAATCAGCACAAGAGAAAAAGAAACAAAAAACTGTTGATGATTTTGAAGGAGATATTGATGATAATGAAAGTATTGAAAGTGTTTCAGATGATGAATTTGATAAATATCTAGGTAAGAAAACAAATAGGACTGAAAGTTATAAGAGGAAAATAATCACACATGTCGTTTGATTAAATAAACTTAACATCTGTAACTAATTCAGATGATTTTAAACAAATCTGAATGATATCGATTAATTTTTGATCGACAAGAGGTTATCCCATTGACAATCAGACAGCTTCAGTAAAACTGATGTCAATGTATTGCCATTAACTATTTTCTCCTTGAAAATTTGGTTTGTTCTGATTGAATATTGGTGAGATATTTCATATAGAATAATTTCAACACTTCTCTCCTTTAATAAGATATAGAAATAAAATAATATAATAGTAAATGATCAGCATCATGATGGAAGCTATAAAAAAACGATAAGAAGTCAAGTATCAACTCAACTGATCACGTTCATATAATAAAATAAAGTGATATTCATTGAGTTTTAAGCTTCTCTTTACAATCATAATGGTAGTATTAGCATAGTGAACATTTTGCCTATAATTTTATTGGTACAACTTTTTTACTACAACACTAAAATTATAGTTAAAAAAATACTGAATAAATTCTATTATGAGCTTTCAATCGAAAAAATAATAATGACAAGTATTCATGCTTGAAAGCTTAGAATATTCAATTATGATCTAATCTTGTTTCTCGTGACAATTACTTATTTTATATTTCATTTTTATTCTATGTTCATTAGACCATTTTATGGACGATATTGATAAGAACGAGATTGATCTTGATGAAGATGATAACAATAGTGTTGAAGATATTGCAAGGTTCGTCATTATGATTTAAATATCTACTTTATTCTATTGAAAAGATTTAATTCTAGTACTGTACAACGAGTTCATCGTAACGATGAATTAACAAATAATGATGATGATGATGATGATGTTGATGACAAGAAGAAGCGCCCTTTTACATTAAATGATGGTGATGAACTATCTGATGATGAACAACTAGATGACAATGCACATGAAAAAATTAGTAACCAACATATACATGAAAATTTTAAAGTGGATAATGAACGAGGTATGAAAATATTTTTTTGAAGATTACTATTATTATCATCGACATTGTTTTTATTTTATTATATTTAGAAATGAAACAAATCAAATGGGAAATGGATCGTGAACGTACCTATACTCAACGATCTCGTCGTTATGATCAACATATTAAGAAGACATCGAAACGAAAACCAAAATTAACTCGTCGTGAAAAACGACGTCAAATGAACCCACAACCGATTATTAAAAAAAAGAAACGTGTTCATTTTAGTTGATTTATTTGATTATTTGAAAAAAAAAGAAAAAGAAAAAAAGATGTGTAGTAATCGATTGATTGCATAAAAAGATTTCTTTTTTTATTGTTTTAAATTTGAAAAGAAGAAAAAGACAGTTTCGAGAGGTGTATACACTGGTTTTTTTGCTACGTATTTTTCAAGTGTTAAGCCTTGAACTTTGAGTATCGATGAAGAAAGAGAGAAATAGAGAGAGAGAGAGAATGAAATACATATACAGTAACCAGAAAATGTAAAGGCTATAAGATGAAATTTTAAACCTGTTGTTGTTGTTGTTGTTGTCGTCGCCTGCTATTTCATGAAGGGAAACCGTAAAGATCAATATTATTTCTAGTGATCGATGTCTCTCTTCTACTTTTAACATATGCATATACATATATTTATAATATATTTAGCTATCAAGGTTAATATTCTACTAGTCACAATTTATTCTCAGACACGAACAAAGACACGTTATATTGTTATCAGATGTGGAGTGTATATATGTCATTGAGAGTAATCCATCTAAAGGACTTAAAGAATAATTTTACTGGCTCATTCGATGACACATTGCGGCAGGAAGAAAGAGATGAATGACCCTTATGGGGACCAACCTTTCGACACACACACACACACACACACTCACACTCATACATATTATAGTGTGTATATAGATGTAGGGGTGTATGTATGTATGGTCACTAGCAGTCAAGATGTATATTAGCCATTCCGGTGTTCGCACTCGGTAGGTTGAGCGTTAGCGCATGTTCATTGTCTGACTTTTTCTCTCGTTCTCACGTTATTATGTTTGGTATTCATAGTGAGAGCGCAGTTGGAGGGCGCGTTAATGTATCATCATTAGTATTGTATGTATAGGATAGATCCGATTAGGCGACAGAACGAATAGCGAAAGAAGTGATTATCGTTCGTCACTCGTCTATGCTCGATTGCATTCTCAGATTGAATTGCATTACTTTTCATTCTCTCTTTTTTTCTTCTCTTTCTTTCATACCTTATTTCTCAAATAATCTAGGTGAGAGTGAATAATTAGTTATTTAGCATAATATATACATATGTTCTATGCTATCTCAATTTAGTTATTTTAGTTCACACAACAGTTCAGATATTTATTTATCTCATATCATCTGTGCTCTTTTCTTCTGTGTCGTCATCGTCTTCTCTTCGTCTTCTTTTGTAGTAGTGGTAGTAGTTGCAACAACTACAACCATTCTATACCTTACATCGCAAAAAGAACGAAAATACTCTTTACTACTTGCACACACATACACATACACATACACACATCACAAACGGAAGAAAGAAGAGAGAAAGAAGAGAAGAGAGACAAAAAAGAGGTTCGTTTTTCTTCTTCTTCTTCTTCTCCTTCTCTGCGTCTGTTCTCCATCGACCATCTCATCATCCAGACGTCACTGGTGCTACTACTACTCGTCTTTAACTGTTATATTGGTCGTAATCGTATCATTCTTCTTTCATGTTTGACCTGTCGTCGATTTATTGACGACAACAATAATTATGATGCGAAAGTTTCGTAAAATATTTCGTCCAACAACAGCACATAAAAATGAAACTATTCTTACATCGTGTAGTCCTGAATCAACATCGAATAATACATCTTATATCAAACAAATCTCATCAGCCATTGACAATCAGTTATGTACAGGTAGACAAAAGGCATTTTTAGTGTTTCTTTTTCATTTTTTTTTACTTAATCGAGATTACACATCAAGGACAGTGCTTTGTGTATATGGAATTTTTCGTCATTTTCTTTTTCTATTCGTTTTTATTGCAATTAATCATCTATATGGCTTATTTATTTGTTTGTTCTACAGAATGAAATGCTTCTAACAGCAATTGCATACATTGAATATAAGTTATGTTGTTGATTCAAGGCTAGATTAAAATATAATAGAAAGTATAGAAATATTTATTTTGGATAATTTTTTTTGTGTATATGTTTTCAAATAAAGTTATTGTAGATAAGATGAAATGATAATTGAATAGACAACGATTTTGTCGACAAATTGATCGGATATAGTTTTAGTCACGCGTAGATTATCCGATAGTCAAGTAGTGAGTTACTTTCATCATTTATATAGTAGCGAATAGAATTAGACATGCACACACATCTGCAGGCGTTAGTCGACCGATATATCTCACTGCTTTATTCTCCCGCTTTTTTTCTCGTAGTAAACGCTTCATTCATTCATTCTTCTGTACTATAGCAGATATATTATGTTTATAGGTCCCACATATATAACTATTTTTCGACATTCTCATAAGATACATATATAAGACAACTAATAGTCATTTTGGTTCAGTATGATCATGATGATGTAGGATATTGATAATAATAAAATGAAATATGTTCTTCATCGTTGGATACATGACACATACACACATGTATATACATGGTAGTCATTAGTACAGGATGTACACTACAGTATGGAGAAAATTCATCTTCATCTACTGTATTATTAGAATATAAAATACAATGAACAAAGAGACAAAAGATATTTTATGCTTGTTCATTGTTTAGTTAATAATATATTAAGCTTATAATGAACAAAAAAAAAAGTTTTTTTCTTCTTTATCTTAGCCTTGACTAAAAGGTTCCGAAAGGATATTTTTTATTTGAGAATAAAAGGTTTACAGAACAAGGTTATACATTTTTTTCTATTCTTATATTACTATTCATCGCAGAACAGTAGCTTCTCTTTGTATTGATATGACAAAAAAGAAACTCTGTTTCATCGAAGGTTAATTTGTTGGTCAAAATGTAAAAAAGCAAATGATATATAGAAATATTACAACAGATGTCGTTTGATTTAAAAATAATCTTTCTAGATTTCTATACAAAAGTTCATAAATTTGTAAGTGTAGAAGAATATGAACATTTATAGTTGGTTATTTGATATCCATTTTACGGATCAAAATGGATCAACTCACTTAGAAAAGTATACATATACATATATGAATTAAAATCGATATCTTTTTATATGTATGAATAAAGAAATTTAAGAATTGTATAAAGTTATAAAATAATCATATTTTTGATTGATGTGCATGAAAAATATTTTTGAACAATGTCTAATGGACTGAAGACTTAGAAGAAAAAAAGCGTTTTGTCTATTAAAAAAGTATATTCGATCGTTTGGATGGAATAAATTATGTTTCATAATTCAGAATACATAGTGTGTTGAACAAACATACGATTATTATATACAATGATAAAAAGTACATCGAGGTGACGATGCGTATAGTATAAGTAGTTGTGTTGATAACCTCTTTCTCCTGTGTGTCAAGGCGTTGAGCATATACATGTATATATTTAGAAAGAAAAAGAGAAGTTTCACTTCGTCTTCTTCTTTTTTTTTCCTTTTGTGGTGAACAGACATAAAAATGTTGAGCGTCTATTTCATCGTCGTTTATCGTTCGGCATAATGAACAACACCACGGTATAAAACGAGCAAGTGAAAGAGGAGAACAATAACAACAACAAAAATCTCACATCTATTTTTACCGATTACTTCTTCATTTTTATTAAGCAACAAAATTTACCTTGTTGTACGTTAACACGCCGATTAAAATATATAAATTATTTTCTTTTTCCTTCCATTACTTATTTATTATTATTATTATTATTTTATTAAAATGAAGCGCTATAAACGTAAACGAGGAAAGAAAACATCAATAATAAAACAAGGTGAGATGTTTTAAGAATAAAATTTAAAAAAAAATGTGTGTGAGTGTATAATAATATTTTTTTTTTGATAGAGAATTTTTTTTCTTCTGATAGTAGTTTTGTATGTTTATCATTCTAGAGTTACCTGATACAGATTGTGGTGTAACAAATGAACATAAAGAGAATTCTTTTTTGATTTTTATTAAAAGATCAAGGAAATGTGCTTATCATATACGAGCAACATTTGTTGAAAAAAAAGAAATCATTGATAAAATATATTTTAAAGAGCATTCGATTTCTGATTTTTACTTAATTCTATATATAACTAAGACAATTGAATTATGATGTATGATCTATAGATACACACACGTGTTATGTATACAAGGATTAATTGTTGATCTAATCCAGATAACATGATCGTTCATTTCGATAGTCAAGTATATATATATATGAAGAACAATAGTATAGACATAGATGTTCTTTTTCTTTGTTCTTTGTTCTTCCTTTTTCGGTATGTTTTGAAGTTACTGATTCTAGTCAGACACTACCTCTTGGTGTTTTTTTTGGGGGGGGAGTACTTGTAAAGGAAAAGAAAAACGAAATGAAGAAATGATTATTTCTTTACAAACAACAGACATATTGAAAGCCATGACGTCGGGTAAGACTTAGAGCAAGGCTAGTCGTTTTTTTGTTTCGTATACATAGAAATTTGTTTTTTTGAAGGTTAAAAAGATGATGATTAACTTCTAACGAGAGATTGATAGTTCTGCGTTTTTTTTTGTTACCTATATAACGTCAGGTTTAATCAACCAGCTGTTGTTCAGTTTTTTTTTCTTTGTGAATATGGTGACAGGTTGAGAGAATATTCAGTGTCCAATCGATAGATTTCTATCCTTCTGAAAGATAAAAGAACAGTGCAACGTTTTCTTCTTTTCTTTTTCTAACAAAAATGACAAACATCAGGAGACTATTCAATTTATTTCTCATAAACCGCACGATTAGTAGTTTCCTCGTTCTCCTATTTCTGTTTGCGTTAATAACCGACAGTCATTTTGTCAGAGTATTACCTTGAAAACAGATCCGATATCTCTACTAAATTATATACGTCGACTAGCTTACCTGAAATATTTGAAAAAAAGAATCGAATAGTAACAATATGATGAGATTTTTTTTATTATACTATTTGTTATTAAAAAAATGATATGGTAGTTATAGATGTTTCTAATTTTTTCTTTTGAAGTTTCTATTTTATTTGTGTTATAAACTTTATACATACATATTGTATACCATCATAAATGTCTACTATCTTGATGCGAGTAAGATTTCCTTTTCTTTCTTTTTCTTTTTTTTTCTTCTTCTTCTTCTTCTTCAGCTGCTCGCACTCGTCAACAGTTAAAAAAATTTGTAATGCATA